ATAAATGATCAATCCAAATTTAATTACACAGTTTTTAGTACGCTTGAAGAAACAAGTGTTGTGGAGGGAGTATCAATTGCAGTAATTGTAAACTTACATGAAGTAATTTAATTTGATAACTTTAGTTCAATGCATAAACTTTTATTAGTAACTTTATATGTGATACGAATTATATTTAAAGTATGATAGTGATGGTGTTTTATGATTACATGGACATTTACCTAATGTACTTGAAAAAGTTGATATTAAACATCCAATTTATTTCCAGACCAATCCTACATTCACAGATTAATTGATATTACTAGCACAGGATAAAACATGTCATGCTGGCATAAACAGCACCTTGCATAAAATACAATCGAGGTATTGGTTTTCAAGAGGAAAGAAAAAGGTTTTATCCATAATTAAGAATTGCATTATTTGTAAAAAAGTTAAAACTATGAAACGGCTTGAACCGCCTATTCTTCCTGATTATCGATTAAACAGTGATTTTGCCTTTGCTAATACAGGAGTTGACTTTGCAGGACCATTATACCATACTGCATAAAGGATATTTATTCAGATACCAACATGTTACATAAAGTCTATCTTCTTTTATTTACATGTGCAGTGACAAAAAATTTACACCTGGAATCGACCCCAAGTATGGATGTCCCTTTGGTTATTTGTGCACTTAAAAGATTTTTTGCAAGAAGAGGATATGTTAAAATGTTATTTAGTGACAATTTTTCTACATTTAAGTCAAGTGAACTATCAAAATTTTTATGTGATAAACTGTGGAAGTTTATTCTGCCGCTTTCCCCATGGTGGAGAGGGTTTTAGGAGAGGTTAGTACGTATTATTAATGGCACGTTAAGGAAAATGCTGGGAACAGCAACTTAATGCAGAGTTAGCAAAAGTAGAAATGATCGTATACAGTTGACCTTATTTTTAGGTGTCTGATGGACATGACATGGAACAATTGACTCCCTCTCGTTTGACTAAGAGGAGAAGACTGCTTAGTCAAGAAGGATCAGTTGAAATTGAAGATCCAGACCCTATTGATATTAGTGCGTTTGAACATTTCGAACATCTGAAGACCTCAATTAAATACTTTAAAACAAGATTTTACAAGGAATATTTAAATGAACTATGTGAACACCATGTTTATAATAGTTGAAAATATGATGCTATAAATAACATTCAAATAAATGATATGGTTTTGATTAAAGACACCAATAAATTGCCTTCAAGCCATTGGAAAAAGGATGTGGTAATCAATAGAATAGCAGAAAGCAATTGAAAGGATGGAAGTGCTATAAATTTGAAACATGATGTCAAACATTTGGTTCCTTTAGAACATCAGCCGAACATTGGATCTCCGACCGATTTTCCAAAGAAATGTATGTCAGAAAAACTGCAGAATTAAAGATATAGCTGGCCAACCAGTAAATTAGAGATAGTGATCTCTAAGGTGAGGAGTGTAGAAACTATGTGAAGAAGGACTGGGATCTAGCATGATAGTGCACCTGCACATTTTTATAAAAGAGTTTTTGAAGCTTGTGTAATGGTGTTTTAACATGAGTTAAAATTTTAAAATTTCTACTTATTAAAATCCCAATGATTGTGGATTTTAAAGTTGCTGCAGTTTTTAAGTAAAAGTAAAACTATGAATGTCAATTTACAGTTTTCAAATAGAATAGATTTAGATTAGGAAAAAAGTTAATTTTTATTAAGCTTTAACCTTACTATTCAAAATATTCAGCAAAAGAAGAAGAATACATCTATCCTTTTAATAACAAAAAAATATATATATATTTTTCTTGTGTAATCTCATTCCACATGGATTTTTCTTGTGTAATCTTATTCCACATGGATTTTTATGTGTAATCTCATTCCACATGGCTTTGAATAAATATATCAACCCATAATGCCATTTATTTGATAGATTGGTCCATTAAAACCAGAAATACAATCATAAATCATTGCAGCTTTTCCACCTTTTCCAGCATTCTTTTTGATGTGATAAATAATTTTATTAGTCAGTGAAGAGTCATGTGTGGTCTTCTGCTCTTATGGTCCGCTTTTAAGGAATTCCCTTTATTTAATTGTATGATTATTCAACATAAATTTGAATGTTGTTAATGGAATACTTGGTGACAATTTCTTTTTGTTTTACTTATTTCTAATAATTTTTGATAATACATTCTGGAAAAACAAAGTTTACTTGTTTTCTGCCATTATAAAGGGCCAATACCATAAAAAATTGATTGTGAAATAAAAATCCTTAATATTATCAAGTTATTGATTGTTATAAAAAAAGTTTCACTTTTTTTAAAATGTTTTGCACTTTTTTACATAAAAATACCTATTCATACAAAACTACACATTTATTTTCTGCTAATCTTACTATGTACAAATATTTTCCTTATATTTAATATTAACAATTTGATTCCATTTTTGTTTTTTGTGTTTGTTTGTTTTTTAAAAAAAGGCGTATTCAGGCTTGGTCGGGAAGCGGGAGCAATCGCTCTCGATTGCTGACCACATAAATAATATTTAGTTGCGAAAAGCTGGCCAGATTTTTTAGTCATTTTTAAAATCAAAAAAAAAAAAAAGCGATAAATATTAATTGGACCGATGAGAGACATTACAAAAAAAAAAAAAGCTAAATAAATTACCTTTAGAACAAATATTTTCGAAACATCGCTCTTTTATAATTTTTTTATAAAATTAAGCGATGTTTTTTATATAAAGTAACAACTTACGATTGTTTAAAAAGGAAACAAATATTCTTTATTAACAAAGTTTTATTTAAGCTAAATTATTTTATAAATAAAAAAGTTTATTTTTTTAATACCTATTTTATGTTTCGCGTAGTTTGAAAAATTTAACATATTTGAAGCAATTCTTCTAAGTAAGATAAACAAATGAAATAGTTAAATCATTGAATTACTACAGAAATTAAATTAACAAAATAGAAATCAACTAAAAAGATTAAAAATACTTAATGACGAGGAAGCGAAACTGCTTCACAATATCGCTGATGATGTTTAGTGAGTGGGCTTTTTAATTTTAATTAGTATTCAAAGCAGAAAAAAGTATAACGAGTTTTAAGAATGGCAACTTAAGCGAAAATAATTAGAATCAGTAAACCAATATCTAGAAATTTTTCTTTGTATCTAGTTATTTGCTATAAATATTTGTGTTCTGTCGTACGCGGTGCTTGTTCATCCGCGAGTTACTTCATATGCATTGTTTGTGTTTAGTAACCAGAAACTTCTTATATGTTTGTTACATAATTAATTTTATTAATTTGGACGATTATAACTTCATTGAAAACGCAAATATTTGTGTAAGTCTTTGTTTAAATCATAATAATTGCTTTAAAAGATACATTACGATAAAAAACAGATACACACAATTACATTTACATAAAGAATACATACTTTTTACATAAAAAATAAGAATATACTAATAAAATCTATTATTTATAATAAACTTTTAAAATTTTGACAATTTAATTAATATATATTTAAAACATTTATTTTTATAAACAAATAATATATATTCTTAAAACAATTTATGCTAGAAATCTCAAAACGTCACAAATCGTGAATAATACAATTTCTAAAACATTTCATGAGAATACTTTAAAACTTTATTTCGCTAAGTCAGCGTATTTTTTGAACTAATAAAATTAGTTTGTTCTTTAATTTGGCGGGTTTTTAGTGTTCGCGAATATTCTTTTTATTCTTTCGCACCAAGATATTTTGAGAACATTCAAGTTGTTTATGTTTCCATGTATGTCCGTAAAACAAAAATTTTTTGTTTCATACATAAACTTAAAGGTTCTCAAAACGACTAAAAAACCTGGCCAGTTTTTCGCAACTAAATATAATTTCCGTGGTCAGTATTCAAGAGCGATCGCTCCCGCTTCCCGACCAAGCCTGCGTATTCAGTAATTAAAATTGAAAAAGTTTTTTATGTTGGTCTTTTTCTGATAAAAATGCTATGGTAACTTTCCTTCCTGGACTAGAGAAAATAAAATTAAAAAACTTGTTCACAATTTAAAAATGTCAGTCCAAAAAATTAGTTCTTAAATTTGACGCAGGTCAATCAGCAGTTAGTTATTTAAAAAAATATTAAATACAGAATATATGAAAAGATATTCTATTGAACAACAAGTAAAAACAAAAAAAAAGCATAAAATTTGTTAAACAGCTTTATAATATCAAATTCTGATTACCATTGATAAAAAAATACTTTTGTTTAGAAGATGATAAAATTATATGGGATGTTGCAAATTTGGAAAGTATAGTTGAAAGTATTCCATTTGTTGAAAAAAAGAAGTTTTTAAAAAAATTATTTGGCCAATTTTAGTATATTTATAAAAATTAAAATTGTTAAAAAGGTTATTTCCTGATACAAATTCTTTAACTAGGCATACACTTTGTAACAATGAAATACAATAAGTGTGGTTAACCATAGCTAGATAATTTGAGTTGAGATAAGACACTTGATCAAATGCCTTGAGAAAATCTAAAAGGATCAACAAGGCAACACATTCATCAATGAGTGCTTGGGTAATACTATCCAATACCTCCAGAATATTAGTCATACAGTTTTATACTACATTTTATACTAGGAGATGATCAAACATGTTGCGTACAATTTTCTCTGGTTATTAATTGGATCTGTTCGTGAACCTATAAATATATTTATAAAAATGGATTTAGAATTTGTTTTATACAATTAATATTGTGTTAATTGGTTAAGTTTATATTAAAAAGTTTTTAAATTTACTCTTGCACTAAAAAGTAATAATACAACATAATTGGTTAAAAATTATAATATTCATGATTTTATACAATTAGTATTGTAATTTTTTTATATAATAGTTATTAGTATATATAATAATTATTTACTTAGTATATTTTGTTGTTAAATTTTTTCAACTTTTTTTGTTGTGCTACTACATAATAACTCAAAATAATTGATTTTGAAATTTTGATGAAAAGGTTGGTAATGTTTCATATCACGATTACTATGGTATAATTGTTGATGATATGGAAAAAGAAATTATTAAAAATGATCTAGGACCAAAGAACATGGTAAAATTTTTTATTATTTATCCACAAAAAATTTTTTTTATATAAGTATTATTGCACATGACAAACAAAGTTTTTATTACAAATTCATAAAAACAGAAAAAATTAATACTTAGTACAAAATATTTAGTTCAAACAAGATTTTATGATTAAACAAAATATCTTTCTGCAAAATTGTTTGATATATATATATATATTTTTTTTTGTTATTCACCTCCTCAAGGCTGAGAAAGCCACTACAGACGAGGAGGCTACTTAATAGTGGTTATAACTCTCTCTCAACTCTATAACTCTGAAACACAAACCTTGATAAACAAGGCCGCTGCGCGGACAAACAAGTTGATATATATATATATATGTATATAACATATATATATATATATATATATATATATATATATATATATATATATATATATATATATATATATATATATATATATATATATATATATATATATATATAACATATATATATATAACATATATATATATATATATATAACATATATATATATATATATATATATATATATATATATATATACATATATATATATATATATATATATATATATATATATATATATAACATATATATATATATATATATATATATATATATATATATATATATATGTTTTAACCCTTTAGTGGGAAAATTGCACATTAAAGTATTTAGTTTGAGTTTCTTAGTTCAAATAGAAGTTTAAACGATAAACTTGACTATATTGAAACTTTTCTTTTCTGTTTCTGCTACTTATAAAAATTTCTTTAATTTTTTTATTTTTTTTAAAGGGATCTTTTTATTTATTTAATTTCTTTTACCAAGACTAGTTTTGTTCATATTAAAGAGAATGTTTAAAAAAATGTTTGGGCTTAATTTTTTCAATTAAACCAAAATAATAAACGTATACCAAGTAAAACTAACTTTTTAGTTTTATCAAAGCTCACATCCATTTTAGTCAGAACTTTAAGTCTTTAAAGTATATATGCTTTTTTGACGCATTCTACAGACTTTATAATTTATTCAAACACGTTTAATTCTAAATCGTTTAGTATATGATGTCATTGTAGACTTTTGAAATTTTTTATACTTTTTTTCTTCATAAATTAATAAGCAATTTGTTTTAAATAGGCACATATTTTATTTTCTAATTATTGAAAAAAAAATTTCAGTATTTTTAGCTTGTTTAATGCTATAAAATGATTTTTCTTATAATTAATGTTATTAAATGATTATTATTTTTATCAAGGTTCTGTTAAAATAATTGTTTTGTATTTAACCATATGAAAGTATAATTAACATCATTTATTTTGTAAACCTTTCATCTGGTACTCATTTTCTCAAAATATTTATTTAGTCATGTGAAAATATATTTGATGAAATTTATTTTATAAAGCATATACTAATTTTGTTTTGTTTTAGCAATATCAAAGTTCAAATTTTCATAGCGCATACCATGAGCTATGATATTTTGAATTTGATTTTTTTTTTTTTAATCCTTACTAGGGTTGTTTGCTGTAAACAAAAACTTACAAAAGGTTTTGCATTTTTATCTTCCGTATTTCAAATTGCTATTGAGAAAGTTGTACATGCATAAAAATTCACCTTTTGTAACGTATTATACAAAAAATAATAATAATTCCGTAATAATGCTTTACGAAAAAAAAACTTGCAAAACAAATCATTTCGAAAATAAATACTAGCAAAACAGTTCCTTATGGAAGGAGCGTGCCGGAGTGTGCGCTTACGGAAAAGACTCGAAAGCATTATTTAAACTGTTATACAAAAAAATGTTATTATTTATTATTTAAATAAAATCATGATGTTAAATGGTTTTTCAGTAATTTGTTCATATATATCTGGTATACACACACTCACATATATATATATATATATATATATATATATATATATATATATATATATATATATATATATATATCTGTGTGTGTGTGTGTGTGTGTAGTATACATGTATACATTGTGTATATATGTATATATACACATGTATATGTATATATACAGTGACCTAGAAAGGTTAAGAAAGTTAGGGGGCTGAAACAGTTATTAAGGGGGCCTAACACAGCTAAAATTGAAATTTTGATTGAGTTTTAGGGGAGGGGCAATGCTCCCTCTGCAACCTTTATGTCAGTGTTTATATATATTTATATTTATCAAGTAGTGACTTTGGTTTACTTCTGATTTGTTGTCTTTGGCTTAGCAGAAATGGAACTTTACTTTTTAGTTATATTCTCATATATAAAAACTTAGTAAAATATTTGGTTCCGTTACAATGTTTAATTGAACTTTAAGTGTTGTTTGGCCATTGTCAGTTATCACTGAATCTTGTGATTAATTTATTACTATCTTTTAGACTAGCTAAAGCTTGAAAACTTTCAGCGCTTGTGTAGTCCTTGTGAGCTTTTATGTTAAAATTGTTTCCAAGCTGGGTTTTTTTTTTCAGGAATTGTATAGTCTCAATGGCGTTGGGATGTTGCATTTAAAAAGATTTTCCAGTGCCGATGGCACAAGATGGAGCAAGTGCCCATCCCAAATTCCCACCCTGACTTTTTTTTTTATAAAGGAAAACATTTTTGAAAAAATTTTTGAAAAGGTTTACTTTAAAAACTTTTTAATTTAATTGTTGTTATTGAGGTAGTAAAAGCAAAAGCTATAACAGAGCACCTCGAAAATAAAAAAATTTGAAACTGATTAAACATAAAATCATTCTATTTTCAATTTTTAAGCACATTGGGATTGTCCATAAAGTAAGTATACTCGGATGGGGGAGATCCCCTCATTTGTAGACCCTTCTTGGCAGCGGGTATGGAAATGGCATATATGAGATGGGGGCAAGGGGTCAATTATAAAAGTAAGGAAACACTAAATTAAAAAAATATCATAAAATCTTGTGTAGGTAGGTTAAAAGCGTAGATACTTTTAGGGAAATGGAGGGTACTCAAAGAAGCGTATAGCAAAATGTAAGCAATGAATATAAAAAAAGGAACAAGGGAGAAACTGTCTTTGAGTTGAAACTAGCAACAAGTTTACAATAAAATTTACTTCATTGATGACCTCTTTTTTTTTAACTGACTCATTCAAAAACCTCCACTTTTGCAATAAAAAGCTCTTTCATTTTAAGATTTGGTTATTTAATGTTAACATGTTAGCAAAAGTTTAATTATTACATTATTAAATAGTTATTTGACAAGTTTATTAAAAAGTGTTGCTAAAATCAATGTATAAAAATCGTTTATATTATTAATAGTTAATTGAAAGTTGAAATTAATATTTTTGTATAATATTAAACTTTATAAAATTAGGAATATTAAAAAGCATAGGATGTAATGTTTTTGTTTTTTTTACAATTTCTTTCCGATGCTACTGAAGTTTAACTTAAGCACAAAATCATATTACAAACTAACTTTATAAGTTTATAGGTGGCACCTTCAGTTTGATAAAAAGCCATACACCCATTTTCTTCTATAGCTAATTTTTTTTTTCTTATTAACTACCATTAAATACATACTTTTCGAATTCCAATTCTATTTGATTCATTTGATCCACAAGCAGATTTGTACATGGTTTTATGAAAAATTTATTCGTTAATTGTGTAATGAAAATAATATTTTTATGTTTGGGTGCATTTCCATTACTTGCATTATTTGACAATCGGTTTGATGGAATTGATGGTGTTAGATGAATGGCATCTTGCGATAACAAACAAACTTGTTTCTTCTGTGGTGTTAACTTTTTTTTAATAAAATTTTTCGCTCGAATTATTAAACTAGCACATTGGGTTATATTTTCTACAAATTCAAATTTTTTATATCGAAAATCAAGATAAGTAGCTGCCACAAAAATATCATTAGTTAAAATATAATTTAGGGGACTTTTTAAATAATTTAGTAATTTTAATTCTTTTATTAGATCTGTAGAGAATTCCATATTAATTATTTTACTTTTCAGCAAAATGTAAACACCTGGAAATAATAAAGAAACTGTAGGATAATTTCGACTAAAACTTGTTGTCAAATTTTTTAATAATTCAAACAAATTGCAAAAATAATTTATTATTATAAACTCGTCATCTGAAGCCACACATTGAAAAATGCATTCAGTACTATGTTCATATTTCATAAATAAAATAGCATCTTTATCTGAAAAAATTGAATCATGCATGTCAGACTTGGACAGGAATGGCGTGCGATTGAGCGCTATTGCCGACCACACAAATGATTTTATTTTTTTACAACTTGACCACGATTGTTCATATGTTTAGATGATTTAAGCATTTCAGAAATGCGCTAGATGTAGAAACACTTAGCTTAAACTCAAACTAGGAAAAAAGTTAAAAAAAAAAAAAACTAATGAAAAAAAAAAAAAATCCTTACAAAAAAGAAATTATATAAGCACTAAAATAAAAATAAAAACATAAACTCGAAGCAAAAACTTTCTGTTATGTTTTTAATTAAGGATGAAATAGATGTTATTAAAACTTATCTTTTTAAACGTTTTATTAAAGGCTTTTAAATTAAGTGACAAATTACTACTGATGATTGTTTAATAAATGAATAAATTTTATCAAATTTATTAAAAAGTACATATAATATATAATAAAAGTATATAATATTTTTAAATTGTATAAACATTTATTTTTTCAAAAAAGTTACAAAAAAATAAAATTGTTTAAAAAAATAAGGAAGTCTTTTTAAAAAAGTAATTTTTAATAATTTCATGCTCTTATTAGTAATTCTAGTTAAAAAAAGGTTTTCAAATTTTTTACTCGTAAAAAAAGGAAAAAAATAAATTAGTTAAATGCGCCTGCAATTTAAATAAAATAAACTGCCAACAAGCAATTTAATTTTAATTTGATCAATACAACTTTATAAATGAGCACTTCACATGTTGTAAATTAGAAAGAAAAAAAAAAAATTTTTTTTTCTACAAAAATAAAATGTTTGTAAAAAAAAAATAAAAAAAGATTTTGAAAAATC